ATAAGTTTGCTTATATTCTTCACCCATATGCTGTGCAATTCAGGGAATCTCTTCTCATCTGGAAAGCTTTGAAGTAAATGAACAATTGTTTTTAGTGTCTAGTTAATACACTGTTCATATACGATACCTATAACTTACAATTATTATAAACAATGCCACACTAGACAACACATGGTTTAGTCCACAATAAAGACAATACAATGAGTGAAAGGCTTTGTACATTTAAAGCTAGTCGTATCTTTATCACATTGTTAAAATTCTCATTTGAATTTTTTTAAGATTAAGCATTATCTGTTAGGATATCGATAAGATTTCATCACTGCATCACATCCATCAACTTGCATGAAAATAAATACTTGCTCAACAACAGCTCCACAAGCTTGTCAACATTTTAAAATTTTGTTCTGCTTTTGCACTGTAGTACACTAACATTGTATTGTATGTTGCTTGCCAATAAATTTCATGAATTCACAAATTTACGCATTCAATACAGCAATACAGCATTGCGTTAAATTATTAAAAAAAAAGAGAGATTATACGAGCCTTACGCATGTGAGGACAGGTCCTTTCTTTCAGTAGATTTTTGGCAACCAGGAATTGAACAAAATTTACTTCCTTCTGTTTTAAGCAAATTGAAAGGGGGGTGTGAATAACTTTTTTCTTCACGTTAGCATTTTAGGTCAGTGGTGTTCACCATAAATTTAGGTCGATTGTGACGTCAAAATGACGTAAATTTGGCCAAAATCCGCCATGTTTTTGGCCACACATTTTTGACTGACGAGGTATTGGAGCACGATCTCCAGATATATTAAGTATAGCTCAGTGATGACCACCCATCGTTGGTCACCCACGCCCGCGATATTTGATGAACTTTAGACTCCACTAATGCTTTCGTTTCCCCGGGTGTAAATAGCCGGGGGGGGATTAGTACCCTCGCACGGCGCTTCGCGCCGTCGGCTCGGGGACAAATAACTTACATGAAGTTTCCTGAATGAAAGTGAGGGCGCGCGGTGTGATGGGAAGATTGAAATGAAGTTGGGGAGGCTAGGCCAGATAATGCGACGAAGTATGGTTTTTGAACCAAACTAGTTTGACCACAGGCGGCCCAATCTCAGAATGAATGATCAGGTGTTGCGGGTTTTTAACGGTTTTTATAAACAACTACAGTCAACCAAAACTATTTTAAAAGCATTCTTAAATTAGTCAAATAAATACATTTTAACAATAAAATATAGTTGACATTATAGCATAATACCTTTACATTCTTTTAATTAATCCATGAGCTCATTTAGAGCGGCTGATGTAACATTTTCTGTGGCCTACATTGTGTGTGCTCATCTATGTATAATATAACAGTAAAAGGCTAATCACTGGCGGCACGACCCCATCGCCTTCAAAGTCAAATATCTACGCTCAAACTTGTCGTACGCCAAAACTAATTCGATTACATCTTTTCACAAAGATTTCTCTTCCTAAATAATGTGGTTTGATCATATTTTGGGCAAATTTAGCGACGAACGGAGCCAAAATATCCTCAATTTCGAATGCTGTTCAAAATACTTAGGGCTGCTCGGGCACGATCGTGGACGTGACGTAATCAATACATACTGACAATAACGCCTTACCCGGGGTGAGACATTATATCAAATTCGACGATAGTTTGTCGCTTTATGCTGTCCCACCCCACGTAAGGCGGTAAGGCGTTATTGTCAGTATGTATTGATTACGTCACGTCCACGATCGTGCCCAAGCAGCCCTAAGGCCTGTTTCATACGTCGAATTTAATTCAGACGAATTTAATTCGTTATTAAATTCGACAATTGGTCGACACTAAAATTAATGGTTTCGTTTCAAACGACGAATTTAATTCAGACGAATTCATTTCATGTTTAGCGATCATGGATTACCCAGAAGTAAAAAACCACGAGACCAGAATGAGAGAAACAGACTTTAACATAGTTTATGCATTTAATTCGACACGACGATAACACGTCGTATGAAACGAAGACGCGCTACAGACGTTGTATCCGTCTGACCATGACGGATACAACGTCTTGGACGAATTTAATTCATCAGACGGATTTAATTCGTTTCATACGACGCACTAACGTCGCATTTAATTGGTTCAATTAAATTCGTCTGAATTAAATTCGACGATAGTGCGACGTATGAAACGGGCCTAAGTATTTTGAACAGCATTCGAAATTGAGGATATTTTGGCTCCGTTCGTCGCTAAATTTGCCCAAACTATGATCAAACCACATTATCTAGGAAGAGAAATCTTTGTGAAAAGATGTAATCGAATTAGTTTTGGCGTACGACAAGTTTGAGCGCAGATATTTGACTTTGAAGGCGATGGGGTCGTGCCGCCAGTGATTAGCCTTTTACTGTTATATTATATATAGATGAGCACACAATGTAGGCCACAGAAAATGTTACATCAGCCGCTCTAAATGAGCTCATGGATTAATTAAAAGAATGTAAAGGTATTATACTATCATGTCAACTATATTTTATTGTTAAAATGTATTTATTTGACTAATTTAAGAATGTTTTAAAAATAGTTTTGGTTGACTATAAATTTGTTTATAAAACCGTTAAAAACCGGCAACACCTGATCATTCATTCTGAGATTGGGCCGCCTGTGGTTTGACCTTTTTTAAAACTTGAAATCGATGGAAATGTGAAAGAAATTGAAATGAATCTTCATAATCTGAGTATCGAAGTTCAATAGAGTCATTTTTATAAAGAAATTAATGTTGCAATTAAGAGGATATTTATGATTAGATAGCTCGATCGTATCCATTGATATTCGTTTGCAATTTCTCAATATTTTTCGATGCGAATGGACAGAAGAAGATATTGATATTGAATTCACCCCAGGATACTCAAGTACGCTTGAAAATGAAAGTCGAAAACATGTTTTAACACCCCCGATGGTTGATCGAACTTCGCTACGAACGATTATATACAACGCCATGTTGATTGCATTAACTCGCAGAGGCTTCCTTTATTTAGCTCTTCCCATCACTCCTCGCGCGCTCACTTTTCCCTCAATAGAAACTTCATGCAAGCCTCTGCGGAAGAGAGAGCTACCGCACTGCTTCTGTAATATGTCTGCGTAAAATATGCGTATTTTTGTTTGTAAATTGCGACTTCATTTTTCGAATAGCAAACACCTTCGTGGCTTGCCCCCAACTATACATGCTAGCTACGGCCCTGTATACAGACTTGCCGACTGGAACTTCTCCAGGTCCCCCGCTAATTATGTCCTCTCCAGTTACACATCCTTAAAAAAGGCCCTGAACCACAGATATCTTATATACACTAGATAGCGCATCTCTTTTAGTAAAATTGAAGCCAAGAATATTCCAGCGGTTACCCCCATTTGAATAGATGGCGGCAATGTTGGTCGTTCCCACTCGCTAATAAACGCTTAAAAACAACAATAACTTTAATCATTTGAATAGTTTAAAAACGTATTTGGAATAGGGTTAACTTAATGTTTAAGTTCCCTTGAACGAACATATTATAGATAGGGGTATTGGGTTATCTGTGGGTAACAAGCCTGTTCGCGGGCGACCTGAGTATCGGCACAGAATACTACACAGAAGTCCATCTCCTTTGTTTTTTGCGTAAGCTCTATTCGTCATGATTCGTCACTCAGCAAGTACCGTAAACAGAAGCAGTCACCCCCCTGGACATGCGCCATTTTGAGTATTTCCAGGGGGGTGACTGCTTCTGTTTACGTACTTGCTGAGTGACGAATTATGACGAATAGAGCTTACGCAAAAAACGAAGGAGATGGACTTCTGTGTAGTATTCTGTGGTATCGGGAAAAACAACGAACATGTGAGACTTTGTGAGCGAGAGTTTTATGTAAAAAGTGGGAGTTTTTATAGTTTATTAAACTTTACTAAAACATAATACGAGAGTTTTAGTGTGCCGACACAAGTTCGGCAAATTTTGGTGCCGTGACAAGGATTGAACAACGAAATATTTGCGGATAAAGACGAGAAACTGAGCCTGAGGGTATTACGAAATCCAAGATGGCGGACGAACTTGAACAACAAGAAATTGAGGAGAATAATACGGTAGAAATCACTCAAGAGGAGAAAGACCAGGAGAAAAAGATTAGAAAAGAGATTGAAAAGCTGCAGTTTTATCTCGAGGACGTCGACGAATTATTGGAAAGTGAGGATTTTAATGAAATCAAACAAGTATGCTGTATGCAAGCGAACACAGCAGATTCGAGATAATATGAACGACTTGGTGTCGCATTTACAAGAATTAAAAATTGAGCTGGGAAATTCAACACAAAGATCTATTAGACAGTGGACAAGAGATTTGAAAGCAGAGTATGCACCACTATGTGAGAAACGTGCGAGGTTATGTAGGGTACTAGACGATAGACAGAGACATGAAAACTTGAGAGCTGAGGAAGAAGTGGCGGTCACAAAGATGGAAAAAGAAGAGCAACTACGTAGGCAGATCCAACAACAAGAGAAAGAAATGTGGGAAGAAAGAACGAGAGCGGAGTTAGTGCTGGCAGAGAAGAAAATTCAGATGGAGAAAGAAGCTAAAGCAAGTACATCAAAACTACCAGAGTTGAAAATATCACCCTTTAATGGCACTTCTGCTGACTGGATAAGGTTTGAGAATATGTTTTCCTCACAAGTTGACAGCAAGTCCATTTCGGACGCTGAGAAATTTGGGTACCTGTTAGAGCTCGTGAATCCGAAGGTGAGAGGCAGACTTTCGAACTTGAAGCCGGGGTCAGAAGGTTACAAAACAGCATGGGAAAGGTTGAAAATGGAATATGGTCATAATAAATTAGTAATTGCAGTTCATATGGAGGAGATTATTAAAGAGGGGGTACAGTCCGTACTGCGCATGTGCGAGATGTTTGTTTTCTGGGGACTCCACCGGAACTTAATTTGTTGTTCCCAGGCTTTCTAACCTATGCGCGCCGCGCGTTTTGTTTATAGCCAATATTAAAAATGGCGGATCGCACTCCCTCTCTGCCTTCCACATCTAAGGAGAGTAGAAAGGAATATTACAAGATTAGAGATGCTTCTAAAGTTTATTTATTCGGTGTTTTTCAACGATGGAGAGAATTTAGAGATGCCAATAATATAAAAACGGACAAGGACGCCGCTGAAGTTTTGCTCGATACATATTATAATTCGAAGTCGAAGAACTCATGGTAAGATAATAAAGATTTTTATACTAGAATATTTTACACAATTATAATGTAAACTTTGACTTTGTATCTAAAATATTTTTGTGTTTTTATATTGTCTTACATCTAAAATTTTTAATATTTCCCTGATGCTTTAGTGTTAGTGTGGAGAGCCAAACTGATCCTGAAGAAGTGGGGCCTGTTTCATCGACTGCTTGTCTGCAAGAAATTCAACCAATTACTCCTCGTTCAGGCCCACAGACTAGACAAGCTGTAAGAGATAGTTTACCTTCCCCAGGTAAGAACTTGGATCCTAAGATTTTTAGTGTGAAAAATCATGGTTAGGGTGAAAAATCATATTTACAGTACACAGTAAACAAACATTTTATTATTTTGTCTTTACATTGTATTTATAATATGTTCTAAATTGTATAATTTTACAGTGTTGACCTCTACACCTCGCCCTTGTGCATCTGGTTTTACCAGAACAAGCAGCTTTCCATCGCCTGGTAAGTTTACTGCTTGATGGGTATTGGGTAAAATGACTTAAAAATTAATATACTTTGATGCTAAAGTTTAATTTTTGCCTACCCTCTTTCATTTGTAGTTAGCGACATAAACCCAGTGTCACCATTAGCTCGCTCAAGTAGACGGAGTTTACTTTGTGAGAGTTCACCACTGTCGTCAAGATCTACGAGGATTAGAGAAGTTCCTGTTGATATCAGGTTTGTAAACACATGAAATACACTCTATATAAAGATCAAAATTTAACTGATACATGTATCTGTGTGCGATATTATTCTCATGTATGAAATATTATTCTCATGTATGAAATATTATTCTCATGTATGATAATTTTCCTAGCCCACTTGAGGAAACGTTGACAGCCAGTGATGAAGACTCGGGAAGCGATGATGATGGCAGTCTTGAGCCAACTCTGACAGCAACATCCTTATTGCCCATTAATGAAAATTATGAGTATGTTATCACTTTTAAAGTTGTATATTGGGATATACATGTACCATTAATTTTCTATGTATATTTTAATTTAGATTGCCTCTGGCTGAGACATCCATCGAGGAAGAAGTATTTAACACCAACCTAGGTGGCCATGACAATATTGGTGAGCATGAACAACAGCTGACTGGTAATGGGGAATCTGATAGCACTGGATACACCTCTTCAGTACAGGGAGTGACCCCTGACAAAGCTGTCCAGATGGAGAAGTGTATTGTGTTTACAGATACTCTCGTGTCATTACTAAAAGAATTGCATGGGAGTATCTGTAAACGGCAGGGATGTGGTCGTTTGCTTGAGTATCAAAGACGATATCTTGGTACTTGTCTTGTTGTATCCTGGCAGTGTAGTGCTGGTCATCAGGGAGGAAGATGGGCAGCGCAACCAACCTGCGAGAAAATCAGAGCGGGCAATTTCATGCTCGCATCTGCATTATTGTTGTCTGGCAACTCATTCACAAAAGTGGGGTTGATGTTCAGATTCTGCAATATACAGTATTTTTCTAAAACACTGTTTTGTCAATACCAGAGTCTGTACATTGCCCCTGCTGTGAATGAGTTTTGGGAGTAGCATAAGCAGGAGCTATGGGATCAAAAATCTGGACAAGATGTCAAACTGAGTGGTGATGGAAGGAATGACTCTCCTGGACATTCTGCCCAATATTGTACCTACAGTTTGGCTGATAATGATGATTGTGCAATTCTCCAGATGAACATAGTTGATGTTCGAGAAGCAGCTGGGAAGAGTAATAATATGGAGAGGATCGGCTTTGAAAGAGGAATGGATAAGCTTTTAACATCCCAAATGTGTATCAAGGGGGTTGTGACTGATGGTCATTTAGAGATTGCAGCTCTAATGAGTAAGTGGCCCTGTACATTTGTGTAGCAAAAATATAATATTCTATTTCCTTGGGAATGGAAAGAGAGATCTACGGTACGGTACCATGTTGCATGCTCACCCAATGCCACACCATTCTGGCTAGTACAACTAGAAGTTTTTATCAGTTTTTTTTATGGTGAAGCGCTGGTTGTATTAGCTAGGATGGTTAATATGGTGTGGATTTATGCCTGTTCACTCTTATAAACACACACAAATTTTTCCTTAAGTGGCATTTCTGTGGTGATGGTTAGGCAAACATATTATGTTGTTGCCATGGAAATAATGTGCAACAGAAAGCTTTGAGTGAGAAAAGTGTAGTAATTCACAAAATTCTGTAATGTCAATTTTTAGAATCAGCAGACAAATATAAAGAGATAAGGCACCAAAATGATGTTTGGCATGGCGGAAAGTCGTTAAACAAGAAAATCAATCTGTAAGATTTGATTAAAAGACTTGAAATTCGATTAATTAATATTTAACAATTATTCTCTGAAGGTGAGGTGATTATCATATCGGTGAATAAAAACCGAGATTCAGTCAAGGTTTTTATTCACGATAATTACCGAGCCTGAGGCGAATAATTGTTTTATATAATTTCATAGGTGATTATTTGGAAAAATACATGTGTATTTCACTTAATTTTGCAAAAAAAGTCTTTGTCTGCCATTTTGAAAGTCACTTACCAGGTGATTATCACGTTTTAATCACCTCAATGGCAAACAATCAGCGTGGAAAATTCTCAGTAATCACCTATGTAATTATCACCTCGATGTAATTATATAATTAATAATAGTTGTTAAAAATAGGTACGTTGTGTACTGTACCACTGTTATGTACATTTTTTCAGTAAGCATAACCAGATCTGTAAGAAGCTACAAGGTTGAGTCTTCAGGTGCTCATATGCAGCCGACTACCTGCAAGATTTGAGTGTCAAACACGTCATATTATTATTCAAGCACATAGTTTATTATTAGGCAGCCAAAACAAAAGTAAATGAAGACCTTGCATTGTGGGCACCATCTGTCCGAAATCATTTTTGGTATTGTTCCAAAAACTGTGAGAAAGATGTCAAGAATGTGAAGGTAACAGTGTTGTAACAGATGAGCAATAGTTGGCTGGCTTCCTACTAAAACAGATCCATGGATATCAAAACAAGTTAATCTGTATAAAGCAGCTTTTGAGAGGTTTCATATAACTTTGAAGCGGTTGGTGAGGCGTGGGAGAAAATTTAACGGCCCCTTACTGTATGTGTGTTTTTAAAATACCTTTATTCTTGCTGTTTATTATGTAGGATAAATGGATTGGTATCTTACACCATGTTGTGAATGAACATGTATGGATATTGGAAGAAGGCTCCAATGGTGCCAAATGTGACTACGATCCGCTGACGCAAGAAGAACGGAACAAACCATGGCTGAAGAAAGGATCACAGGCACACAAAGCTTTGACAAAGATTGTTATGGATACACGATTCCTGAATACATTGAAATACTACACATACTTCAGGTAAAAAGACAATCATGTAAATAATGGTTAGTAATGCTTTATTTACTTTTTAGATTAAAAGTTGAAACCATGGCGTACTGTAGTTGTCTTACCAGTTGTGTGTTTCTATTAGTCTGGTATGTACAGTCTGTACCAGGACAATATGACATACAACGTAATATATTACAATTATGCTATAACTTACTGTAACTGCATGCATGGTTTGTTATAACTTCTGGAAAACAAACAATTTATCTCCATTTTCACATCTATATAGGCACACTGGATTCTTGGAATCGTTCCATAACCATATATTAATGTATGCTGCAAAGCGTCAATCTTACACGTATGTACAGTATGAGTATAATTTTTATAATTTAAGCAATTAGATTACAAACACAGAAACACTATAGATTTCTATCACTATGTCTATGGTGGTAAAGCCCAAATCAAATATCACTTCTTGGAAATCGAGAGAGTGAATAATCTAACTGCTTCCGTAAAAAAAGGAGTAAGAAAACAAGTTTCAAAAAGTTTTTGATAATTTATTAATAAAATTGTGAAGAAGTAAACCAAAAAGATGGCTGTTGGCTATATTTTTACAGTATCAATAAGTAGTGACATACCGTACAGTAAGTGACTACAGTATAATGTAAGTAGTTTTTACTAAAACTAAATACAAGTTTATCCCTATCTTGAATCATAGGTTTGTTGGATATCGTCTCCGGAACCAGTTGGCAGCTATTGATTTTAACCACCACAGGAACAGAGATGTAGCAACCACAGCAGATGGTCGACCAAGGTATTGTACTGTATGTTTAGAAATATTTATAATTACTGAAAGTGATAAAATATCCTGATTTATCTAGTAGTTACTAGTTAAATGTACCCAAAAGGCAAAACCGAGATATGTTTAATTCACTATAGTGTCAACCAATACACATTACGCCATCACTTTCTGATATAATTGCTACCAAGCATCTTTGCAATTAAATTTAAAAAAAAAATTATTTAGGATGGAGCGTAAGTTTAGCAAGAGGTCAAAGCAATGGTGTGCTGTTAAAGTGTTGGAACCCAAAGAGTACTCTTACATTGAGATGCTCTTTCTAAAGATTTTTGAGAAGAGAGCCAACTCCACAGGTGGTGTGAGTCAAAGGATTGGTATTCTGGAGGAAGATCCGAGGAGAATTGCACCAAATATATCTCTCATCCCTCCTCCTTCCGTACAATCACTTGTAGAGGCCCATAAATCAAGATTTTAAATTTGCTAATGGGCATTTAAATTTTTAAATGAGGGCTTCAAATTTGAAATCTACTTTGATACCTAAAATAGCAGTATTTAAAATTTATAGAACTAACAAGGCAATTTGATAAATTTGAAATGTGGTATCCTGTGGGTATTAGAATACTTTAAAAATTTGAAGCCCTAAAAATGAAAATGCACTTATATCGAACAGTATGCTTAATGTAATTAGTTGTATTGTAAGATGGTTGGTATTTGTAGACCTAACCGGGAACATTGCAAAAAATGCAACTTACAGTAGGTCCTCCTGTAGGAATCAAACCTACGCTTCGGCAAATCTTGTGCAGTACTCTCAACCACTAAGCTACAAAGTCAGTCAGACAGCACCGAGTGGAGGAACTCTTGTGATTGGTTCCTATGCCTAAATGGGAAAAGCGAGTATACCTCAAGCCAAGCCATGCAAACATGTTAGTTTTTCTTATAGAAATTTATAACCACTATATACATTAACAGTCATTCTGCCCAAATGCACCCTACTTTAGTATTTACTCTGTCTAACGCCAGACAGTTTTACTTGTCAGTGGTAGAGTACTGGTGGTTACTGGGTTAAATGGCTTAGGAGAACCACAACTTTCGGCAAAGCGTTGACCCTTGAACAACATTGCATACTGTATAAGCCTGTACTGAGAATTGGACGTAACAAATGCCACAGAAGCCCATTATCGATGTTTATAGTAGGTTATCGAACAACCTGAAAGACGGGGGAAAACTTTGAAGTTTTGTGGAAAGGCCTAAACAGCTGTTTATCGAGAATTTGGTATTTTTACTAGATTTCTTGACAAATGGTATTTGCTCAAAATTTCAAAGAAAGTGTCCTCCTATTTTCAGGTAATAGATTATTTACTTTAATATGATGTCACTCTTGGCACATGATGGTCAAAGAAACACAGTTACCGTAGTGGATTACAGTAGTTGTTCACTTACTATAAGTATTGACCTTTTTCACTTTATAAGTCATAACGGTACATGATACATATATGGTTGACCACCATGTGTTTCCCTGCATATAACACCTATAGAAAACTAATTCGATAACCTACAATAAACAGTGATTAATTTTCTTTATTTCTACTGGTTTTGGCACCCATGGCATAAGAATATTTATTTACAATCTAGCTGGCCTATAACCAGTATAAATTCCATTAGGAGAAGGGTAACGGGCTCGTATAGCTGTCACACAACAACTAGGCACAACCTTCTGTTGCCTCTTCCTAAATGCCCATGTTGCCAAAGGACAAACTGCCTGTAAGCTGCATGACGAAAATTTTCATTGTTACGGGCATTGTCTAAAACCAACACATCTTCCCTGTACCGCATGGCAATGTCAAGAATGTTAGCATCCAATACAACCTGTGGGAACAATGTTGTTGTTGTGACACATGCACGCCTTGATTGGGTACAACACTTGTTTTCTTCCTGTGTAGGCATTACAACACAATGCCCACACTTGCACCACTCTGGCACATTTTCATTTGGAGGGGGATTTGGCGGATCTGCAGGTAACCCATCTCCAGCAGCAAGTTCTCCATTAACTATGTCAGCAAATGCTGCTGGTTGTCGTCGTAGCAACTCTAAGGCCAACCTCCTCAGATCATCCACATTAAGGCCCTCCACAAGATTCTACAATAAAAAGATAATTGTCTTCAATGTGTAATATATTAATTATTTAATTTACTGTCATAAGGATAAGCCAACTGTCTTGTTCAACCTTTAGGTTGTTATATTTATCTTGTTATTCTTGTATCAATTTACATTATTGACTTTGTAAATATTAGTTGTTAATTATTGTACTAAATCTATTTTGGTCTATTACTCTATTCTGATATAATGAAAATAGTATCTAATTGTAACATGGATTTTTTTGTTACAGCAAAAATGCTGTAAATGATCACAAATGAAAGTGCATACTCTAATTTTCAAAACACAAATTCTTTGTTTTTGCTTATTAGCTTATATCAAATTACTATAAAGGAATAACTCTTTAGTAACACTTTCCTTCTGTTATGGGGTCGGCAGGAAATAAGTCAGGTTGATACTGTACGAGGCAAACAAAAAAGTTTCTCGGACAGCCTGGTGCCCACTTAAACACAGTCCCCCAGCAGTGTGTGAAAAACATGCCTTGTCACTAAATTACTAAATATAAAGCATTACCACTAATTGTTCTTCATGATTGGCCTGATTCTGTGCTGCATTTTCTTCAGGGACAAGCTGTCTGCGACCTCTTCTTGGTCTTGCTTGTAAAGAATCTGCACCTTCACCTCTCCCTTGTCTGCTGCCCCGTCCTCTGCCCCGTCTTCTACCTTGTCCTCTGCCCCGTCATCTTCCTCTGCCCCTTCCTCTGCCCCGTCCTTGTTCATTATTATTCAGCTCATGGCCAGCATAGTCAAGCTCTTCATCATTGTCATCCTCAACTTCATCTCTTCCTTGCAAAGAGAAGTTGGAGCCCTATAACAATCAATTGGTTGCAAAACGACATTATGTTACAAGTCTTAGATTATTTTATACTGTATCCATTGCCTTTGATTATGCCTGACATACAGTATTAAATTTTTTATCATAATAAAATAGAACAAAATAATCTCAAATTCAAATTAATAGTTAGATTCCACATTGCAGCCATAGGTCGACTCGAGATTCAGGCACAGTATTACTATTGAGTATATAAACGAAGTTCCATGATTGAACATCTATAAAAACTGCAAAATATTTGGCTATTTCATGATAATAATATAATGACAAGCGAATGCAGACACTCAGTATCAGCAATCATATTTATATATATTAAATATATATACATATCAGTTTACTTTATGATCTGTACCAGACGCCGAGATCGTATTTTAATGATATTTAGATACGGTTCAAATACTTCATAATATAAAGTTGTGTTCGACAAAAGAACGAAAACATCACATGGTCTGCATTTATAATGATTCGGCGATTACCATAACCGCAATTACAAAAATGTGGTCTGTAAAGTGTCTATTTATCTTGTTATATATATATATTAAACGGTACAAACCGAATAAGAGTTCATCCTTACCGTCGTATCTTCTGAACTGTCGCTATCACTCTCATTGACCCTTCGACTGTTCATGCAAGCCTCGCCGAAATCGTCGCCGTGGCAAGCGCTCGAACAAAACTTGTCAAGACTCTTACACGGACAAAAGTTTCTTCCCCTTTCTCGAAGACAATGGCCACGGCATGTACACGTTGTAATATTGTCAACGTTAGGCAACGTCGCTAACTCCTCTATCTGACTGATTTCCAAGTCTTCAAGCGTGAAGCTTTCTTCCAATGCGTCGGCCATGATGCAAAAATTTATCACGCGCGCTGCTTTATGCAAATGAACACTTCATGTTATATTCATTATGTTGATCAAAACAAAAACAAAAAAACTGGCACATGCGCAGAACGGACTGTACCCCCTCTTTAAAGTGCCCCTGTCACAAAATGAGAGTTTACATCATTAGAATCGTCTTGAAACGTAGATTATGAAAATACAAAATTAACAGATTTAAAATTGAGCTTGTTTTCACAGAGTATTAATAAGGCAATGAAATTTGAAAATTTCAAATTTTAACGGCAAAAGTTTTTGAAAACCGCGAAGCTGGGAAATTGGTAACTAATACGTCATAGTAGGAAGACATTGCCTTCTCGCCTAAGTGAAAAGAATATAAATACTAAGTGAGAATCACAATCAAGCTGGTCAAAATTCGATACAAATGTCTTCGTCGAGTTCAGATACGGAGAATAACAGTTACCAAAGCGATGACTGTCTGAAATTATATTCCTGGGCCGTATCAAATCGAGTGAAATCGATGAAAATACCAGTGAAGCGTGGTCAACGTCGGTTGTGCGCACAAATGATCGGCGCTGCTTGATCCATATGTTAATGAACCATGCAGTGACCGACGAAGATGGCTCAAAAGTTACCGCGAAAAAAAGCAATCACAACGAACATCTTAAGCAATTACAACAAAGGCTTGATAGTTCAGAAGAATTGAGTAAATGGTAAATATTTCACTCTGATATTCATGTTGCGTGACTTGACCTTGTGTTGTAAATTACAAACTATAATATTTCATGTGTAAACGTGGCAATTGTCGCATTGAACTCACTTCGTAAATTATGCTAAAGAGTGTCAATGTTGTATGGAAATTGAGGAGTGCGTCGATTCTCTACACAGTGACATTGTGATTTGTGATGCAAGAAGCTGAAGTCGCGCCATCGTGTATAATTCAACAGCTATGGCTAGATAAGTGAGCTCTCCGTTCAGCAGCCACGAAATTACGAACAAGAAAGAAACAGGAATACCGTCAAACAAGCACAGAAGATAGGTAAATAAAGTTTTATTTATCAACTTATTGAAATTAAGAAACACTTTACCGTACCCGAGTTTACTATCAGTGAACACACGCATGCGGTACGGTAACTGAGAGTTTATATACGGTACATACTGTACAATTATTGAATTATTATATATTTACATGTGTTCACATGCAAGTAAGCGAATTATTAAAAATACTTATTTATTAATTTATAGATTCTGAAGGAGCACAGCATATAGAAACTTTGTGTGGATGGTTTATGGACAACTAGGAAATAGACATTTCACATTTTTGCGCATATGAGAAAATAATGCCTGCTGTTGATGAAGACTTTGTAGGATTTGTAGAGAACAGCTCTTGATATTATATAACTATTTTCCAATAAATAAACCTATTACACTGTATAAACGTGGTAATATTATACTGTATTGCGTATAGAAACAGCACATTTGCTATATTTATGACTTCAATATTGTTTTGCCAAAGAGACTGAAATTTGAGATTAAGATTTGTATCCGATGTTTTTCTGCACTTCGTGCGCGCAGGTTAATTTGTACAAAGTGTTGCAGCACGTTTAGGAATTTTTCTGACTTGTATTTCGTTCCAGGCACTGCCTTATACTATAGCAAATGTGGCAATGACTAAGTTATTTCTTTAAGTTGCTTCAATGGATTATACTTTGTAATACATTTTATATACACCCCCGCAGTGTATCTGGTTTCATGCCACAATTTGTTACAAAATCTGCATA